GGGTGGGAGGAGGGAGAACAGGGGAATCTGTGGCTAATTATGTAAAATTAAGTTAATTATAAAATAAAAATCTTTTTAAAAAGATAGAATATACAAAGAGTGGGGGGAAAAAAAGAATTACTAGGGCCGGACAGCAGTGGCGGACACCTTTAATCCCAGCACTCAGGAAGCAGAGGCAGGCGGATCTCTGTGAGTTCAAGGCCAGCCTGGTCTATAGAGCAAGAGCCAGGACAGGCACCAAAACTACACAGAGAAACCCTGTCTCAGAAAAAAAAAAAAAAGTACTAGAAACTTTAATTGTTTAATTAGGTCTTTAATTGTTTGTTTTTGTAAATAAAAATGTTACAATTATTGAAAACAACACCTAAAGTGTATTATGATCTGTAATTATGATGATTTAAATAACATGCAATTTGCCCCAAAACGTGTGGTTCCTGGCATATGTCTTAAAGATTTCTATGTGGTACCAAATGTGTTAATTTAGTCTAGAAAAATTCTTTCTTACTACTTTTGTACATGTGATTTTTATTTTTTTCATGAAGAGAACCCATCTTAATTATATATGCTATGTAAGCATGGTGTATGTATGTGTGGTGTATGTGCACATGTGTGTGCATGTGCTTGTGAGTCCATGTGAGTGGGACAGAAGGGGATGCTGAATGCCCTGCTATATCCTTTCCCACCTTATTCCTTTGGGACAGAGTCTCTCCCTAAACGTGGAGTTGAGCTGACAGTCAGGAAGGCCCTGCAAGCTTCCTGTCTGCACCTCCCACAGCACCAGGGTTGCAGGTGCATGTGTGGCCCTGAGTTCTGGGATCTGAATGTAGGCTTTTGTGTTTGTGTTCCTATAGCAAACACTTTAAGACTCTCAGCCCCAAACCCATGAAACACAGTATCTAACAAAACTTATTATTGCAAAACACACTACAAACCATATACCAACATCCAATTTTACCTATATCATTGACCCTTGACCCACAAGTGGCATTTGAACTCTGACATCATAAACAGCTCCTGCTGGTATCCTATTATTTTTTTCCAGAATATTTGTGTAGATTCTTAACAGTTGATTTGTGAATCCATAGATGGACTCCTTTACACCTTTAAAGTTATTTGAATCTTAAAGAGGATGCAATAAACTCATACTACATCAGAGCCATACTATCTCAGATTTAATTTTATTATATTCAGGAAAACAAATATTAGTGGAGAGTCTTAAGACTTCTTTTTTTAAAATGTGGGGAGGAGATTGTTGGTGTAGATGTGAATGTGTATTTATACACAGCACACGCATGTATGTGAAACAAAGAAAAGCCATGTGTAAAACATCTGTTACAATAAATTGGTTTATTTTCAAAGAGAGAGAAAGTAACTTTTGAAGTACTAATGCAACTTAAAAGAATTCACACATTAGAACTGAAATGGAGAGAAAAGATAACTTTAGTTTTTCATTCTTCATTTCTGAAAGCCTAGCACAGAGCTATGTTTTCACAGTCCTATAGATCCTAGATATGATAAAGCCCT